TAGAATATAAATTTTAATAATATAGATCTTGAAAAATATTCTAAAATCTTAGGATTAATCCTTAAATTTCAAGGATCAATATTTACCAAATAACTTTACATTCTGGGTTCTAAACCAGAATCTAAGAATCTAAATATTTTAAAGATTCTGAAATTCTGAAGAATTAGAATGTGATAAAGATAAAAATTTCAAGATTCTAAAAACCATTGACTAGTTTTTCAATTTCAAAATTTTAGAATTCTAGAATTTTAAAACATGAATTTTAAAAATATATCAATGTTTAAATTTGAAGAGTTTAGCTTTAGATAAAATTTGAATCTCAATATTTTAAAGATTCGCAATTTTCAAGGATATTAAGGCATAAATGTGATTGTTTTTTAACAATCTAATTTCTGAATAATTCCAAAACTGTAAAAATTCTAGTTAGAATTGCATCTAGATTCAAAAATTCTAAAATCCTAGCAACCATTTAAATGTAAACAAAATTTTTTAAAGAATTTTGGTGAAAATCTTGATACTCTGAATAGTAAAAGTTTACACACGAATGACATACATTTTTTCCAGTTATTAATTCCTGTTCCCCCACCACCACCGAACTCCGCGAACAAATCAGAAGCGGAGAATTCCGAAGGGCGTGTTCAACATCTGTCAACATTGTCCAACCCCCAAACCGAGTCAACACCACTCAAAAACTAGCAGATTTACGAAATTTGATGCTTAATACAAGCTTCACACGTGATCAACGCCTACTAGATGCATACATCGTACCATCGCAAGATGAACATCAAGTATTAACATTAGCGGTTTAACCGAACCGGTTTTTATTTTTATTTTTAGAACGAATTCGTGGAAGATTATGATAAACGTCTCCAATTCATTTCGGGTTTTTCGGGAAGTTACGGTTACGCGGTTATAACCGCAAAATCGGCCATTTTGTGGACCGATGGGCGGTACCATTTGCAAGCCGATAACGAAACTGACTGTAATTGGAAGCTGATGCGTCAACACATTTACTACGTTCCAAATATCAGCCAATGGTTGCGCGAGTCACGCCCCCAAGGCGGGGTTATAGGGGCCGATCCGAAACTCTTCAGCCAATCGAAATGGGAGGAGTTCTCCGTGTCGCTAAGAGACGTCAAATGGGAATTAATTGAGATTCAAACCGATTTGATTGACGTGATTTGGACCAATCGGCCGGCAAGACGCAATAAAAACGCCTTTATTTTAGACGAAAAATACACAGGTTGGTAGTACTGTTTTTTCAATTTTATTTTCTTGTGGTTGGTAGGACGTAAATGGACGAGAAAAATCCACAATTTGCGTAAAACCGTTCAGAAATTACAAGCCGACGCCATTGTTGTGACGTCACTGGACGAAATTGGTTGGTTGTTGAATATCAGGGGGCGGGACATACCGTCCAGCCCCCTTGTACGTAGTTACCTCCTACTCGACATGGAGAGGGTGTGGCTTTATGTCAATCAGAGCCAACTCGAAGCCAATCACGTCGCAGAATCTTTGACCAACTCGGCCAAAGAAGCCAATCAGTTGATAGAGTAAGTAGCCACGCCTATTGATACTAAACCACGCCCATTTAGATTCTTTGATTACGAGCAGATTTGTACGGGATTGGCATCACGTGCACAACTCTACTCGAGGATCCTTCTCCCACCCGAATCAACAAGTAGGCGGATCGCACAGTGTGTCCCGCCCCGGAAACGCCTCTTTGTCCAATCACCAATCATTTTGTTCAAAGCGAGAAAAAACCCAATCGAAATCAAGGGGATGCACCACGCCCATGTGCGAGACGCCGCCTCCATGTGCGAGTTCTTCGCCTACTTGGACAAAATGGTGGGGGTACTTCCGGTGTCAGGTGCTTATTTCCGGTAGTTTAAGGAAGGTTTACCTTTTACAGAATTGGATATTGTCAAAGTGGTCGATGAGTTCCGGTTTGAACAATTGAACAGTCTTGGGAACAGTTTTCCGACCATAGCCGCCTATGGGGCAAATGGGGCCATGCCCCATTATGTCCCAATGGGCAGTACCAACGTCATGGTCGGGAATGACAGTACCCTAGTTTTGGACTCGGGTGGGCAGTACTTCGATGGTACCACTGACATCACCCGTACAGTGCATTTCGGTACGCCCACCAAGGAACAAAAAGAGGCGTATACAAGAGTTCTGATTGGTCAAATCCAACTGTCAATGTTGACATTCCCCGCCTACTTGAAAACATCAGCCATTGACGTGATGGCACGAGCACCATTGTGGGAAGTGGGGCTGGACTACGACCATGGGACGAGTCATGGGGTGGGGTCATTTCTCAACGTCCATGAAGGTAGTGGTACCACCCCTTTTACTTGAAATTACCACAAGTTTTTAGCACCAATTTCGCTACATTTTAATAACCCATCATCGACATTCCCCGAAAATGACATTCTCAAACCTGGGTACTTCCTCTCCAATGGTACCAACCCACCAAAATAGAATTTTTAGTCACGTGATTGTTCCAGAACCTGGGTACTACCAAGAAAACGACTTTGGGATCAGACTAGAGAACGTAATGGAAGTAATTGACAAGAAATGGTTAAGGAGTATACATGGTACCAGTTATTTGGGGTTCAAAACTGTCACTTTGGTACCATACGAACCCAAATTAATTGACTTGAGTCTACTCTCGCGACACCAGGTACCACTTGGTGGTTTTTTGACAGTTAAATGACACATTTTTGACAGATCCAATGGCTGAACCAATACAATGACAGAATACGAATCCATGTGGGGGCGGAGCTTAAAAAACAGAATTTTACCAAAGGGTTCTTCTGGATGATGGAACAAACAAAGCATTTTCCGGAAAATGGCAACAAGTACCATAAAATTCACCCAATTGTCGTGATTTTAGCCGCCATTTTGATAAGTTGGATGTGACAACAAGATGGCCGCCAAATTTTTTTTCATTGTTTATTCGTAAATGTTGTAATGTTATGTTAAACAAATGACAATTATACGATTTTGATCATTTATTCACAATAAAAGTCAGGTTGAGGGAAAAWTTTTTGTTACAGTATTTTTAATAAAACTCCCTGCCTACCGCCACTAACCCCGCCACTGCTTTTAATTAAAAAAATATTCAAATAATTGTAAAAACGCCATGTTGTGTATTATCACAATTAGTACTTAAAAACACATTTTCTTATTTGTTGGCAACTTAAATCAATTTTTAATCCCGATTGTTTTATTTTATTTTTAATTCTTTAATTTCTAATTTTTTGAACATTTTTTGATAGTTTATATAATTTTCATTTTTTCAATTTTTTTCTCGGTCGTAAAATTGTGTTCTTTGGACATATTTATTTTCTTATTTTATTTATTTATTTTTTTAT